CGGCCCGGCCCGGCCGCCGCGGGGCCGCTGCCGACCCTGTCCGTGTCCCTGTCCGTGTCCCTGTCCCTGTCGGTGTCCCTGTCCCTGCCGCGGGGACCGGGCTGGCGGCGCGCTTGGTGTGCGCTCGTCTGCGCTCCTTACAAGCCGCGGTTAAAATCTAGGTGTGAGTTTAGGGATAACCCGCCCTTGAAATTTTACCGGTTTATTGGCTGGCTCGGAAAAGAAAAAAAAAAAAGTCTCATTTAAGGTTCCTTTTTCTCCCCTAGCCCTTACAGCACTCAGTCAGTGTCACTGTGCGGTTTCGCAGCCGCCTGCTTGGTCTCTGCTGTGCTCTGCCCTGTGGTGCTCTGCCTGGTCCTCTGTTTGCAGCCTTGGCTGCGTGTGGCTGCTCTCCGAGCCTGTGAGGAACGTATATCCTTCCAGTTCCTCGTGTTCCTGCTTTCCTTTTTGCTCGGCTAACACTGACTTTGCYGCACGCTTATGGAGCCTTTTCTTGTCGTACCTGGAAGGTTGCCCTCTGACTCCTGAAAATGCACTAAGGTGGGAAGTCAGGCAGTGAGAAAGCACCAAGGGACCATCTGCTGTGGTTCACTTTTGTGCTCAGTAGAAAAGTTAGGATGCTTTTAAGCCCTGATCTATCTGTAACTTTTAAAATCTAAAATATCAAGAGTTTTTTTGTGTGTGTGTGTACAGTATAGTTTTATTCAATATTTAGGTCATGTTGGGAGGTGTAGGCTGTGGTTTCGGTGTCCAGGCAGAGCTGTGGCTGCCCTGCAGTTGGAGAAAGGCTGTGGGTGGGTGGGAGCACCCSTGGGCAGGAGGAACCTGCTCGGCAGAGCAGTTTGGGGGAAGCCTAAGAGGCTTCTCCCAGCCGTTTCTCACGGAGCTCTAAGGCCGCGTGTTCTGGAGCTGTTTTCTCTTATCGGAGAGTTGGCCCAGCGAGAAGCGAGTGTCTGTGCTGTGCTGGAGGATGTGCACTAGTAGGGCCCTGCATAGSGAGTTTGCTGGGACCAGAGCTTTTCCGAGGAGTACAGTGAGTTGAAAAAGACTCCAAGCCATGCTAACCTGTTGAGCACTGGGGTACTAAATATGTCTGTGAAGAATTGCAGAACAGCTTTGATTCTTTAATTTGCCATAAGATGGCAAGTGAAGTTCTATATACTCATGTGATGAAGGAGCTTTAGCATATACATATATATTTAGCTCCTTTCTGCTTCCTGGATTAAGAGAATAACCTGTGCCTAGGCTCTTACTGGAAGGGAAGGGAATTAGAGTTGAACTGGTGAGATAATATACCTTATGAAATAATGGGATAAAATAAGTCTTCTGGTATTGATGGGGGATGATACAACCAGTTTTGTAATGGTGTTACTCTGACTTTGAAGGATAAGTTCTGCTTAAAATGGTGAGTTTATTTTCCTTTAAGGAGTAACTTTTGTGTCATATTTTGAGCAAATCGGTATTTTTTCCTCCTGTTCTAACCAAAATTGCCCGAAATGTTCAGACTTGGAAAGCTTCTTTTAATACTGGGAACTTTCTGTGTTTTGTTACCTGAAGAACTGCATCTGACGTCTTCCATTTGCTGCAAAAATGGTTTCATTGWTCCTGTGTTTAAGGCAGTACTGTGTTTTCAAGGAGTATTCACCGTTGCTTTCTTCTGAGCGACTAAACTGACCTTTAGTCACCTCTGAAGGGGAAAACCCAAGGTCTATATGTGTGTGTGTCTATGTATGTTTCATATATATATGTATACACACAACTTGTAATGGGGTGCATAGATGCATGTGGGATTCAGCACAGATTTTCCAAATTAGAGCAGATTAGGCCAATTCTGTCTGATCTTTGTTCACCTGTGGGAAATGCAGAACAGATAAAAGGCTGAAGAAAGTTGGAAATTATTGCTGGGGATCCTACCATGATGCTGGTAATTGCAGACTGTTTTGACTTCCCTTCTCTCTGTTCTTTCACAATAAGAAATACAAATTCGTTTCCAAAAGTTTTATGATTGATTCAGAAGACAGGTCAGTTTACAGTCAGTGGCAGTCAAAGGAGTATGAAGAGTACTTATTTATGAAAAGTTGGGCATTAAGAAAAAAAAGCAAGGAAAGTGTTGAATATTCAGGTTACGGATTTAAATTGTCACAGAAGATGAATATGTATTTTAATAACAATCTGGATATCAGATGGCTAAGTGATCATATACAGGAATATTGGGTATTACAGAAGTATACTTTAAYGTTTGCATTTTGATTTTTGTTCACCTTGTAGCACAAGTAGAAGCAAACTGTCTTACTGCAGTCTTTGTACAAATCCTAAATTCTACTGTAAGTTGAATTTAACTTTTTTTCGGGGCTTTTCTTTGGGAGATTTCAAGAGAGTTTTYAGGTATGTAGCTATATGCTGCTTAATGATAATCCCTTTCAATGGGGAAAATTTTAAATAGATCATTCCCATTATCACAGGGAGATTTAGATCTTGACCAACTGCTGGGCAAGTTGCTTTTCACACCAATGGACTTAACCTTTACTGTGCAGGCACAGCAGTGAGGACCATGCAGCATATGAATACAGACTGCATCCTTCGTGCAGGGAAGGACACGGGGCCTTGTGGGCCACCTGGTGATTTGAGTTTTCTATTAACAGTGAGTGAAATCCGACAGCGTGGCTGACTCCTGTTTCCTCAGACACTGTTTGGAAACAAGCTTAGAGGTAGTTTAGTCCGTGTATGTGTATATATGACGAAACCGTCTCTAAAATCTCTACAGTTACATCACAGATACAGAGACAGTTTTTACCAGCAGGAAAACAACTAAGCATGGGGTCTAAAAAAGCCTTGTGTCGAGTAATGCCTTGGGTGGTGCCTGGAGCTATGGGCAGAGTCGCGCCCYACAGCCCCTACAGCAAAGGCAGGTGGATGGCACTGTCGTTATTACTGCAGGTTGCATGAATCTGGAATCAAATCTACACTGTTATGAAAAATGCAAAATTCAGAGCTTAAATATAGTTTTAAAGAGAGTATCATCACTTTGTTTTATCAATAGCTTCTTTTTGCATGCCCTGCCTCTCTTGAGGAACAGGATAAGCCTTTGAGGAAAGAATTAAAAATAATACAGAGACTGGACAGGTCCATTTGATCTGATTAAGCTTTACTACAGCTTACTTAAGGTAAGCAGAAGACAGGAGGTGTGCGTTCTCTTTTATATATATTTATAAATAATATATATATTTTTRGGGAGAGAAAGGTTAGTATGTCTATTTAACATTTAAATAAATATTCTTGAAATAAACTATATAGAACACTTTTGTAACAGGTATCCAGGAAGCACAGTTTTTAAGTCAAGGGGAATAAATGTATGTGTAATGAAACACACTCATATTAATATTCACATGGGTGTTGCCTATCACTGTAAATCTTCAGTTTGTGAAGACCCTCAAATAATTCCATCATCAGTCCTCTCAATGACTCGCACTAACCACGGAAACATGAATATTCTGATCATGCTTCTGTCCTGCTGTACAGCTGAATGTTTAGGGGTTGGTTTTCCACTGTTATGTTGTCTTAAAGCAGCCTGGCTCAGTGGAGAATCGAGACCCTTGCAACTCTTCCATCAGGTCACAGGTAACTTGCAYGCACTGATGGGAGAGGGGAGCCTCGGTTCCTGGGCTTTCACTGATGGAAAGATTTGCTTCTGCTGCTCAGACTAGGCCCCCAGGCCACCCTAGCAAGCYCTCTTAGGAGTGGCACATGCCACTATTCTTAACCGCTTACCACTTACCTAGGAGSCCTTACCAAATGTTTCTTGTTAACACGCRGTTATGTTCTGTTGACTTTAAGTGGCCAAGTGAAATCATACCAGCTAATCAGATAATCCTGRTATTTTCAACCAATTGCAAATACTTAACAGGAAGGTGTAAAGACAAAAAAGGGACAAGGTGTAMTAAACATATATGCTGTTGCTGATGCAAAATATAGGCTTGCAAGCTACAGCTGAACATGTACACTTCTTCAGTATCAGAAAACATGATGCAATGTGGTATGTGAAATAGGACTTTTTCTATTATTAACATATATGTCTGTGAATCCCTGAAAAGATAGCTGAAAATTYTGATTTAAAATCTGTCCTCAAAGACTGGCTGTTCTTTTATTTATTTATTTAAAAGATGGGGTTACAGCAACATCTAAAGGCAAATAGCAAAGAGAGGATTTTCAGAACATTTGTGCTATATTGTGGATTCAGGTGACATCCAGAATKATTTTAACATTTTAGTTGTATGCCTTACAATAAAAGATGAGGCATCCGTATGATATAGCTTGTTTACATCAAATGCCTTGTGCTTTTGTTTTCAGGGGCTTGAAGTAATTAGCCTAGGAAAAGTATTTCCTTCACAACAGAACTGTTTCTCTGCTGCTAAGGAAAACTAACATATAAAGGGTAAGGTTACTAATTCAGCCGAATTGAAATTAAGCTGAATTAAGCTGTATGATAAATGCAGTGCATTTACTGTGCAATTCACAATAAATACTTAACATCTTTCTAGTTGCACTGAGTGCCAATCCCGTGTTCTTGAATCAGAAAGAACTATCACTTTAATCGAGGGGAGTTGTATCTGAATGCAGGCTTTGATCGTAAAGTAATTTGAAGGCTTTTTCTAAACCTGAAATTAAAATCGTCAAGCAAGATCAGGCTTAAGTCATTCCTTTGAGATTTTTATAACGAAACATATGAGCTTTGGATAAGAAACTTGATATACCAAATTCAAACCTAAAGCACTTCCCCTGCTCCCTTTTCTACAGACCCTTAAAGAATGACTTTTGCTTTCAATAATGAGTCTTAGCTACTGTTTTGAATGCAAGATTAAAATAAATAAGATAGCATAATACAGATAAACATGTTTCCAAGTCATATGCCCGTTGTGCAACAAAACCGTTCTTTTAAGATGAAACAAGATCATTAAAATTAAAAATATTTTTATATGCAGTTTAAGTTTTGATGTTTTTCTAGGAGTTCCTTTACTAGTTTCTCTAAGGAGAAGAGATGTTCATCTACATCTTCYGGTACAAGATTTCTCATAGAATTAGCAAGTTCAAACAGGTATTCTGTGTTTCTTCCGCTCGGACCAACTGCATTAATAATCTGTTCAGCAATTTCTTCTAGAGGTGCTGGGCCAAGGTAATTCGGGTTATCGCAGGATCCGATATATAACAATACGTCAAATGGTTTTATTGATGTGTCTTTGGGATAGAAAATGACAGTTGTGGTCCTGTAGCCTCCTTTCTCCCTGAAGTCCAGATAGGCCTTCACTTCACCTTCTTGTCCAGCTGGCAGTCTATAAGCAACACCCCACACACACCCCTGTTGACATAAGGACAGAAAATCCAAGCGGTATATTAAGATACTCACAAATTAATGTATTTCTAATTTATTTTGGTGAAATCATCTTAAAAACCTTGCATATACATATATATATATATTTTCTGTTTTCTGTCGTACCTGTTTCTCATGTTGTTCAATGAAAGACACCTCTTCCAAATTAAGAACATTTTAGTTAGGAGATCTTCGTTCAAACTAATTATTATGTGGCTTCCTCATGTGTTCTGATGCTGGGGCMTTTTAGGGGAAACTATTTTGTAATCAAGTTTGAAACAGTGAAAAGACTTGGCTTGGGCTTCTAAAGGCTATCGGCTAAAGTGATGATTGAGAGAAGACAATGTATTCTCTTGACCTCAAAGAATTAGTGCAGTAAATATTAAAAGTTGTAAACAGTGCCAATTCAAAGTAATTTTAATCASATTTTTTCCCGGTTTCATTACAGTTTTATTTCCTTTCTTTTACTTGTGTGAAGTTAATGCACTTAGTTGAACTCTAGGAGAAGGAAAAAAGCTGAGAGATGAACCTTTATTTTGCAGAACTAGACTTGACATATCTAGCACCTTGGCAAATACTGTTACTGTAAATTTCATTACCATCATCTTAAGAATTTTGATATTTCTTCATGKTCATCACAGATAAAAGCTATGAGAAAGTACTTAATTTGGGGGTGAATCAATTACATTCCCATATATATTATTTCTATAATAGAGAATGAAATCCATGAGATCTGTGTATGGGTCTCCTTTAAAGTAACACAGAAGAATGTTGATCTGCATTACTCATTAAAGTCTACAAAATTGTTTCTTATTAGTATATTATTTTAAAATGAGTGGTAATTTGTTCTTGTCTATAGACAACACCAAACGTGGATTCCTCCATTACTGAAGACAGAGACTATTGGTTTTCTTTCYAACACTGGATTTGTAAGTGCCAAATTTTGCAGTCAAGACCAAATGTTGGTCAATGGCATTTTATTTAAAAAACAAACAAAAAACCCAGAGTAGTTGTAGAAGTTTTTTTTTCTGTAGGTGGCTACACTATTAGATGTACTGTGGCTAAGAACAGCACCGGGCTGTTCTTCGGTTCCTTCCCTCAACTCTTCCATGTGGGTGTCAACTTAAGCTGTCTGTTAGTTTTTGAAAGAGTGCCTTTTGTGGGGACATACTTAGGTCCTGATAGAAAAATATAAAGTGTGTTGGGGATGGGATTTCATAACCTTCATTTAAAGCAGCTATGTACTACCAGTGCATTTGGGTTGTGTCAGATGTCAGATTTCTACACAAGATGCTCCAACACAGCGTATGTGCATCTTTTCCTCTGTGCACATTCCTGTGGGACAGAGAAGTCTAAGATGCCTCCAAAATAAGGTTTTTTTTTTTTTAATGCAGAAGGAGTAGCTGAAGTTAAGCACATTACTTTTTTTTTCCTCCTCTTTTTGATTTTCTGTCCATACCAGTTTCCAGAGAAAAGGAAACAAACAAACAAAAAACCCCAAAACAGCAAACCCAAACTGCTTTGCTGAGGGGGAARAAGGTTCCTATGGCAACGAGTAAGTTTGCTTAGCAATACAAGCTGAGTGACAACGRTATGACCGTTCTTTGTTTATAGAGGAGTCTGTGTAACAGAATGGTGCCCTACAGTACAGTAATGTGGGGAAAAAAAACCCCACACCACTTACTAGAAAGGTACAGAAAATCACAGTGAGAAGCAGTGCGCTGTGTTTTGCTGGTCTTGCTAACTGCAAAACAGTTGAAGGTTACAGTTATCTTTGCACTTGCCTCTATTTGTTGCTGCTGTTTCAGGGAAATGTCAGAGCTGAAAGTATTTTGCCTTGATTAAGTAGAGGTAGCTTGAGTACAGTCTTGCATCATGCTTGAAGTTGACTTGTGGTAATGGTGACTAATATATTGATAAGGCAGCATTTTATAAAGGTGCACCCATAAATAAAAACTACTCCCCCAAAACCCATATTTTACTCATCTTACGGCCTTGTGTTACATGTCCTTGCTCTGCCTGTGCTTCCGGGCCACCCCTCCTTATCTCCTATGTTCTCTGGAGGCAGCACTAGCTGCAGGGATCCCCTTCCTTGAGGTGTGAGAAGCTTGATGGACAGGGAGAGCACAGCTGCCGCYGGCTGCATGTATGGGGTGGCACATGTCCCCAGTGCCACCCTGGGCTGCACCTCTTGCTCAGAAGGGAATCCCCAGGGAACAAACSCTCTTGCTCCCTCCCCAGACACCAGGGCTTACCTTGCCCTATGAAAGAGAAATCAAAATCACCCTTGGTGACATTTATATTCTTAAGTATTTGGTTTATGTAGCCACATACCACTGCAAAGTAATCTCGATATGTTTCAATGTTTATTTTAGGCAGGCATGGTTCTGATGCAACTTGTGTCTAATATTGGGATATCTTCAGGCACTATATTGCTGGAAGTCAAATTCGGCATCCTTTGTAACAGGATAGCAGTAGGGACTATACAGGAAAGTGCTTAAAAACATGCATTTGGTAATAATTGACCCAAACTACTTCCAGTTGCTTAAGTTAGATAGATTTATTTTGAACAGTCAAGGAGTACTGGCATTAATCCAGGAAATTCTGGGAGAATGTTTCATAAAGGTAACTCAGTTTGTTTTAGGAGAGGCAAAAAAACGGAGACTTAGCAACTTAGGTTGGGATGCATTAGGAATCTGTGTGCACTCTAGAGTAACTATGACAAACAAGCCRGCAGTACCGTACCTCAGGGTCTTCCACAAGGGTCACAACTCTTCCAGGCTAGAATTAAAAGAAATACCACTTATTTAGTTAGAAGCTTTCATTGTAAATCATCAGCATCAAACAAACATTCAAACAATGAGAAGTAATAAAAGGGACAGTAAATTAAGCCAGAAGAGTCTCAAGAAAGTGTGAATCTTTGGATGATTGAGGCACAGTTTGTACTTTTTTCTTAAGAAAAAAGTTTTATCTGTATTAGATTAGTAGAAGTGGTGATAAAATACTCTATTTGTGTTTAATTTCTTCCCCATGGAAACTTTTTTTAGAACCTTATTGAAAAATCAAAATGGGATTGCTCTTGGGTCATTTTTGACTTCTAAATGATTTTTAATGGATTTGTAAGACTTGTGCAAGAAATTCTACTTGACACGAGTTACTACTTCCTCTAGGTTTGCAGGTGATGTGTATGTACTTCTTGGCAGCCCAGGGATTAAAACACACAACTTGACCTGCATTCAGAGGGCTGCACTGCCCATACCAGTAAGAGCTCTAGTAGGAGTTGCTAGTATGCCACAGTGCATCTCTATATATAAATATAGCAGCTCAATTTTCCACATAGCTATTTTCTAACTTGACTATTAATACTTCCATAACCTGTGTGCTTAATACTGGGCATTGGGGGTTAGTAAGTTATACACTAAAGAAATGTTTTGTGGTAGGAAACAACTGTATTTTTATTTCCAGAAATACCTGCATTGGAGGCCTGAGTGTTAAATGAAAGAGCAAGTACTCAACAGATATGTGATAAAAGAACAATCTGTTTATCTGAGAAAGGAGAGGATTTTTTTTTTTTTTTGGTTTATAGTGTCTTGCATGAAATGACCCAACTTAAACAGCATTAGGGAACCTTGGACATTACCTTTGCTAGCTGAATAAGAAAGTAACAACTAYAAACTTTCTAATATAAACCCAAACCATCTTTACTGGGCTCATGGAGTGCTGGCAAAGGCAAAGCTGAAAGRCCTAAATCAGATGCCCCTGACGGAAGGATTTGTTTGAGTTTGTCCTGGCGTTCTGCTGCCGGGAAGGCCCAAGAAGGCRGCTTTGCAAGGACCACACTGAAACAAAACTGAAGGTTTGGCGCTTCAAAGATCTTCTAAAGCATTTGTAGCTCTTGGTACCATCACCTCCCTGAATCAGAAGGGAAGTTGCTGGGGAAAATGACTTAGATCTTCCTTTAGCTCTGTATTTCAATCCAGGCCCTGAGACGTGCTATACTCTAGAGCCCCCCAGATRTATGCCTGTGCTAGCTCCGTGTGGCAGGAGGCATTAAAAACCTCTGTGAGGGCTGCAGGAATGGAAGCAGCAGCTACTTGCGGACTCAGGTACTCATCTTGGAGAAGACCAGCACTACTGTGTGAAAATCAGAGGAAAGTTAGTTTAAGATCCTGAATCACTTTGGCACCTCCTGCAGTCCTTTCCACAATCAATTATCTGTTGTATTTTGGTTGCAACCAGTTGCTTTGACGTAGATGCCAATTTAAGACTCTTCCAGATTTTTACCAATCTGGACTAAGTACAGCAGGAGAATAGCATTAGCATCGTGTAGCCTCTACCCTAGAGGCTGTGACAGGTTCCCCGCTGAGGAGGGTTTATTGAGTTGTACTAAGATAATGGTCCCTGGATAACTGGGTGAACTGCCAGGCCTTCTGCTGCTGRGCGGTTGGCAGTGGTACTGCAGCACTGCCCAGGTCCTGCAATGACTAACTGCCTACCGAAAGAAGAACCAGTTTCAGCGGCTGGGCATGAAAACCTAGTGAAAAGAAGTATTAACTTAAAAATACCTTCAATTTGGTTACCTCAAAACCTTTCTCTGAAATGGAGTTCAAAGTATGCTAATGAATAAGATTGCAGAAACTTAAAATTGTTTCTTTAAAAGCAWAAGCTTACTTAAACAAGAAGTAGCTTTTTATACTTCCTTCTCCTGTGACTCACCCTGGTCTAACAGTAGCCTGTCTGTCCTCCACTCACCCCACTGCTGGCAGCCCTTCAGCAGGAAGAAACTGTCCGAGTAAATGATTATACAGAACCAAGGCCAACTGGTGAATGCTAAAAGTTGCCTTGGAAAACGGACCTAAATTGGGAGGATATCTTTCTGTTGTGATATTGGATAATACTTTCAATATCTGATGAACATTTAAAAATGCTACCTATTGAAAATACACTTGATACTAYACTGCAAGGCAGTTGTGCCTACAAGGTAAAAGGGCTTTAACATGAGATTGAGATCTTCCTACAGAAATCCAAACATTTTGCCATTTTACCATGGTGTGGTGATCCGTGCATGATTACTGCATTTCCCTAGTGCAGTGTGTGCGTCTGGTTGATKCATCTTGTGAAAGTTCTGCAGGAATTAAGGGCTTGACTTCTGCAACACTGTGTATTAAAACATTAATTGTATATTAAATTACATAACATTCTCCTTTTTACATAACTTTAACTTCAGAGSTGAAGTTACAATGCCTTTTCCCCCTCCTTTCTAAGAAGTAAATCAGTGTTTATTTTTGCCATAGACCTAAAATCCCCGGAGTCAAACCGTAGAGGTAATCTCTGAAGGGTGGCACTGCTGACTTCCCTTCTGAAGAACAGCAAGTGGAGAAGTACTGAGACTAGCAGGATGCTGCTGACATCTTTACAGCGTTCCTTATCTGGGCAGTTTCCTGTGAAATGTTTCTCCCATTTCACTTTCAACAGACTAAGGCCCTACATTATTTTTACCTATAACTGAATCATTCAGTAATTGGATACATGCAGAAACTCGCAGGAGTTTTCAYGCTCTAATCTGCTAGTGACAGCCCATGGCCTGTGAGCAGCTGATGGCCACTCCCAGGTGTCCACACACACCGGTCTCCTCTCCACCAGGGATCCCAGAAACAGCTCAATGCCGTGCACAGCTTTGCGCGGCAAAAATGGGAATATCTGCTCAGTGTAAGGGGGGAGTAACCCTTGCATGAGCATGGTGACCCTGCAGGGCAGAGAGCATGTGCATCTGCAAGGGAAAGCGGGTTTGGACTTTCTGCCCTTTCTTTTCTAGGCACAGCTAAAGGCAGTTTCTGATGAAGGCAGACACAGAACCAAGGGTCCCTGAATGCTGSCCTTGCAGTGTTGGCTTCACGGTATGGCAGAGTTTGGCAGTTGTCAAGAGTGGCACCTCTGGCATTCATGTGATCACAGAGCCAGGTAGCCAGGGACGGCAGCAAACAATCTATTAGTGTTTTTAGTGAGTGCAGGGAATGTGCGGTGCAATCGAGAGCGCCAAGCCTGGCTCAAGGGAGGTGGCAAAAGTCATCAGAGGCGGGGAGGAGGCAGGGTTATAACGAGAGGAGGTGACAGTTCACCGCCCTGGCAGCAGCAGTCTTTCAGCTCAGTTCAGACCACAGGGCAATAATGCTCGCTTCACGCTTCAGCCCTTCAGCACRTTTACTCTTAAGTGATGTTTTTGTCATCTTCAGCAGGAGTGTGAAGAAAGAAATTTCTTAACACCAAGCAGCACTGCACCAGAGCAGCTTCATCTTGTGTGAAACAGGCCTCAAAGCAAAAAGAGCATCAGACCTCCACATCTACRGAATCTTTAGTATTGTCAAAAATCAGAATTTTTCAGATTCATATATCTGGGGAAATTACTGCCCCTGAATTTTAAGCTATTCAAGGAGGTCCAAGAACTGGATGATACCAAAAGAATTTAGTATTTAAAAAGTGTAAAACTAATATCCCGAGGAACCGTAGATTAGTTCAATATGATTGGATGAGAAATAGAAGACTGGTTACTTTGAGGGTCTCCTCAAGCACTGGAGCCTAGAAGTACAATTAATGAGAAGCTATAAAATGCAAGGAACCTAGAAGTACAATTAATGAGAAGCTATAAAATGCAAAGGGTGCTTCACCACCACTCTCGTTAAGCACGTGGCCACAGCAGAAGGTGAGCGGTGTCAGCGTGGGGGCCCTGGGGCTGCCCCCGCTCTGCGCAGCCGCTGCTCTCGCGAGCGGCTGTTGCCTTTGCTGCACTGCCTGTGAAATGCTGCAGCAAGCCCTGTYTGCAGGAGAGTTTTGTGGGTTTTTAACCTGTTGGCTACTGTGCTATTGCTCATCTTCAAAATGTGCTAATACCGGAGGGCCAGTTTCTCTTGTAACCCACCCGCTAGGGACTAACTCATTTCCGATGTAATAGAGGCTTTAAGGGYTTTATAGTGGAGTTTGGTTGGTCTGGTAGAATGAGAAATCTTGGCGCTCTGTTTTCTCAGTTTTTGTTGAGGGACCCTTTTGTCTGTGGAAGTAGTAGTAATTTAGGGGTTGTTGTACAGTAAGAGTGTACTAAGTTGTTGAT